AGCCAAGCAGCCCCGGCTCGGCCTGCGCCGCCGCTGATTCCCCAGGCTCGGGCCTGGCCGAGGAGGGTGCTGACGAGAGCGGAGAGGAGAGCTCGGACCCTGCCCCAGGTGAGCAAGTGCGCCTGTGCGGGCGGGCTGCAGGCGGTGGGCGCCTAGGTGGCTGAGGCCCTGGTAGTCATGGCGCCCAGGTAACCCATGGCCCGCTAGTCTGGGCTCAGGCTTCCTGCACCAGGTGGCCCCGCGCCTGGGTATCCCTGAGCCCAGGTGCGCCTGGCTCAGTGTTTTGCCTCCAGGTAGCCCTGTGCCCCAGTGGTTCTTCCCAGGGTATTTCTGAGCCCAGGTCTAGTAGCCCTGCAGCCAGTTGGCTCAGGCTCAGGTAGTCCAGGAGCCCAGGTGGACCTGGTGCCCAGGTACCCATGCCAGGATATTTGGGGCTCGGATAGCTCTGAACCCAGGTGTCTCAGGCTCAGCAGCCCCATAGCCAGGTGGTTCAAGGTCCTGTACCAGAACGCCTTGTGCCCGGGTAGCCTGGCCTCAGGTGGGCCTGCGCCTGGGTGGCCCTGAGCTCAGGCTGGCGGTGCAGACACGGGTGCCTGTTGCTTCCCTCCAGGCTCCTTTTGCTCCTTGCCCATATGTGTTTGCAGAAACGAACGTCTTGGACCCATTGAGTTGATGGTCTCGCTGGGGCATCAGTCAGTGGACAGACCACACCCGATAGACGCCCCCGGGGGCGTGCAGGTCTCTTCCTTTGCAGTCCCAGACCTGGTTCCCTCACCACGGTGTGCACAGGAGCCACACTCGAGCACAGGCACAGGAGGCAGGCGTGCGCTCAGCGTCCCGAGGCCCCGCCTCCCCTGCTCCAGGCGGCGAGCGAGAGTGACTTCAGCTGAGGGCACAGTTATAATTGATCTCCCTGGACTCAGCCTCCCCTGCGGCTCCGCAACAGCTAATTGACCGGGATCACTCCGCACAGCAGCTGCGCAAACGTTTAAAGGGGCTCGGCCACCTCTGTTTTTATAATTTTCCTACTTTTTGTAAATTTTAACCATGTTGATACTCTCTTCATTGTTTTGCGTTTTGGGTAATTCTTCCAAGTTACAGAACTTGTCACTTTCCCCACCAACCAGGGTGCTTTCTTCTCCCTGAAAACTGGCTCATGGGTGTGGCCTCTACCTGAAAGGTCAGGCTGACGGAGACCCAGGGGCGTCCGCAGGGCTGTGTTTTGTAGGGAGGAAAACGCCGTTTATAAGTGTGTAGGCAGGTAAGTGAATAACACTGTGCATTGCCCCCGTTTCCCATTGTTGCTCAGTCACTAGCCGGTGGGAGGGAGCGGAACACATGGTTCTCTGGACAGGCAGGGCTTGTTCCCGGAGCTTTATTTTTCTGATTCTTCCAACAGTGTCTCATGCAAAACCTGGGGAACCCGATTGCGACCCCTGGGCGGCATTCTGATTTTTGGTGTTCCCCTTTTTAAATTTTCACAGCTAGAAATTTTACTCGGTCACTTTCCACTAATATGACTACTTTTTGGAGCATGGGTAAACTATTAGGCTAGTTCTAAATCTTATTTTTTACTTTGAAGACAGATATTTTTAATCCTTGGAAAAGCTCTTAGGTCTGGTCCCCATCTGTTAAGAGGACGGTCAGATGATTCATCACAGGCTGATTCGAGTGCTTTTAGAGGCGAGATGTTGGGAAGATCAAGTTATTGTCGCTATTAATTAGAAATTACTCTCTTTCTCAAGTTCACTAAATTTTAAAGACGATCATTTACTTCTTAATGTGTATTTCCTCCGTATGTAACCTAGGTTTTAGACATCTGATACCTCAGCTGATCCTGTAATGAGATTACAGGTGACCGTTGTGTGTAACATGTTGACGACAGNGCTGATCCTGTAATGAGATTACAGGTGACCGTTGTGTGTAACATGTTGACAGAATGAACAGGATACTGTAGCGTATTGAGAGGCTTGGAAAGAAATTTATGGCACAACAGTTACATAGAACATTAAAGAACAGGGTGGGTCCGCTTGGGCCATTTTTTGTAACCCCAGAGGCAGTATCTTTCCTCTAAAACCACAACTTTTCAACTCTAGTGACCTGGTGGTGGACGGTAGGTAGCACTGGGCCGCTGACTCGCGGACGCCCCTCACGGAGAGAGCGGGGCGCTGTGTGGTTAACACTCACGGCCCCTCGCCCGCGGGGCCGGCTCCGCCTCTGCAGCAGCTCCTTGGGCAAAGGAGATGGTATTTTGGGTTCTCTTTGTGATCTGTAGTGTGCCCTTCTTTTCTTAAAAATTTGTATAACTTCGGAAAATGCTCCTCTTTCCTGCTACTAAAAGATTAGATTTTTTAAACATCCAAGTGACTTAAATTCTCATAGAACTTTGCTGGGACGGCCGGTTGTCATTGTTAGAACAAATACATAGAAACGGGGGGACAAGAGCACAGGCGTGAACCCGGTGAGCCGGGGTGGCAGAGCTGACACTGAACTTCTCACCTTCGGGGCCCTCCCGGCACAGCCCCCGTGTGCCGTAGTTTTACCCAGAGATTTTTCTTTTACATCCAGGAATGGATTTGAGTGTTGCTCCTGCCTCGTCCCTCTGACCCNGTCACGTGGCTCTCGGCCCACCTGAGGCTGGGCCCGCGCGCTCGCCTGAGTTCTAACAGGGAGAGCGCGGCTGTTGACGAGGTTCGGTACTTTAAACTGGGTCGCTGAGCCCGAACCCTCCCCTGAGAAATGACCGGCCCGGGTAGGAAGCATACTTTCGGGATTCACAAAAATCAGTTCTAGACGGCAGAGCCCGGGCTTGGAGGCCACCGCTCAGGACGGGGAGCGTTGCTTCACGTCAGAGGCCCAGGGAGCGGGGGACGGCTTGGGGTGATGTTGCTCCACTGAACTCGCCTGGAGGGATCTGCCTCGTAGTACCCGTGTCCTTAGAGCCGGTGCCTTCGCGAGGAGCTGCTTCCGACGGCCCCTCCTGGTGCTGGGACCGTCACAGGTGCTTAAGCCTGTCTCAGAGCGAAAGCCCCGGGGCCGGTCTCTACAATTTGCTTTCAGATTGTTTCTGCTGAAACGTACGTGACTAGCCCTGTTTGCACTGTTCCCTGTTGGCCCAGCCCCTTCTTTCCCATCAGATCCGTACTCTCTGGAGCTCCCCTCTTTATCTTTGGAAAGTCACCCTCACTTAATGGATAGTCAAACCCCGAGTTTTGGATGATGTCGCAGGAAACTGCAAGTAGGTGACCGTGTTTTGACCGAACAAGATGACAGAAAAGGTGGCTCGACCGAGCGGACCGAAGAGCCTAGAACGAGGGCCACAGCACCCGGGCAGCCGGAGGAGAGTTGCAGAGATGGACGGGCGGCCAGGGAGGGAGACGG